GAGCCATTGATTATATTTTCAAAAAATATTTGCCACCTTTTTGTACTAGGCCTATCCCTGTAGGCACCTTTCCAGAAAGAGAGGTGCAGCTCTCACCGCACTGACATTGGGATTAACCATGTGATTTATTTTGGCCAGTGGAATGTGAATTGGAGTGAGATGTGGGAATATCACAGCCATTCAGAGAGAGCAGTAAATCCCAGAAGTAGTGAGTGAGAAACAAGCTTTATTGTACATCACTTGGATTGAGATTTTTGGTTGTTCATTACCACATTAAAAGTGGCTAAAGCTGATTTATACAAATGTAAACACTCCCATTGTTCTTTGCCAGCCTTTCTTCCCCCAATCTTATTTCATTCTGTCTCAGGGTAAGTATATCCTCATAAAACAGAATCAGCCAATTCTCATCAAACAAAATAGAGATACTGCTTCAAGAAAAATTCCCACAGGAGAAAACTATAAATTAGTTGAACAAACAAATAAACAAACAAACAGTACTTATCAAAAATAGCACAAATAATCCTAAAAACAGAGAAGCTCCAGAATTGTCTCTGAACTTAACTGTCAACTATGTAGCAAAATTCCACTCATTTTAAACAGCACAAATTTGGACCCAACATTACACAGACAATTATTTACAAGTAAAAAACAAGTCTTCACATTTGTATTTAGCATCAAAAGGGTCTCTGGGTTCCTGCACATAGCTATATAGCACAGGCTCGTTATTTAATGCTTCTGTTGGAAATAATTAGAAAACAGAAAGCTGAGGGACTCTAAGAAAAAACACTAGAAGCCAAATGGGGTGATAATTTAGAAAGAGAGGTTTTTATAATGCAATGTGGGGGGAAGGGGAAGCTAGAACAAAGATACTTGAACTTAGAAAGATACTTTCTAAAACAGCAGTTCTTAACTGGGGCTGATTTTGCCTGGTGCTCCCCCTCCCTCCAGAGAGATTTGGCAATTTCTGGATATTTTAAGGCAGTGATTCTCAACCTTCCTAATGCCACAACCATTTAATACAGTTTATGACCCACAGGTTGAGAACAGCCATTTTAAAGAGTTAGTTCATATGTCAGTTTTATTTGAAATTGTATAATGCATTGCTTTTTGGAACACTCACAAAGTTGTGCAACCATCACTAATGTCTAATTGCCTGAACTTTCATTTCTTTGTACGGTCACAACTGGGGTGTGCCTAGTTAGAAGGCAGAGTGTGGGGAGAACCCAGGGACACTACTAAACCCTCCACAATGTATGGAACAGAACTTCCCCTAGTCCCCCACAATAAAGAATTAAGAATTATCTGGCTCAAAAATGTCAGTACTACAGAGATTGAGAAATCCTGCTCTAAAGGAAAGAAGCTGAGGTTTGTGCGGGAGGGGTTGGTGTGCTTTGGTGAGACCGAGAGCATTAAGGTTGAAGTTACCTGACAGTCGATGCTGGAGAAGGGGGTGGCGTGTGTGCATGTGTGATGTGTGTGCTGGCGTACATTTCCATGGTTCTGTCTGAGCCCCAAAGCTACAGTGAGAAGCATACATTTGTAAGACAATTACTTGGGTGCAAGTAATTCCTGGGCATGTCTGCTGGATGTGAGGCATGTATGGTATTGACAAAGTCATGGGCATGTGACGTTACTGCAGTGTCAGTTCTGGCATCAAGACTGTGCCTGCTGGGCACTGGGTTTGCTACCTGTTCAGGACTGTGCCAGATATAATGGAAAATACAGATAACAGCATAATTTGTTTCTGATTGCAGAGAACTATCAGGTCCAGATGGAAAAACAAAATTAAGTAGGAAAGGTAACTGATGGCAAAGATGATGCACAGCTTCCTCACCATCTCCAATTCCTAGTACAATCCTTGCATGGAGAAGCTGTCCACACGTTTCATTGTTAAATGAATTTGTTAGGCCACATCGTATGACACATGCTTGATTTCTTTTTCCTTTCCATCCCCTTGCCATCCATTTCAACAGGAAATCTTGTCAGGTCCCAGACAGATCCTTTTTCTACCTAGGAGAAGGTTCTTTTGACCTCTATGGTGACCAAGTACTCTGAGTCACTGTCACCCTTCATCAGGAGTGGCATAATTGCTCACTCCAGCGCTTCCTGCCTCCAGCATCCTATATCCACCGACAGTAGCCAACGTGAGCTCTCAAAATATGAGAACATTCACCACAGTCCCTTGAGGTTAAGGCGGTGGGGAAGGAAAGAGAAGTTATCTGAGTTGTACTCAGAATAAAACCTAAACTCCTGCAGATCCTAATGTGATCTGGCCCTTTCCTCAACCTCACCCTGGCTGCGTATGCCCCTGACACACTAATTTTCTCTGTTCTTGAATATTCCAAACTTACTGCCACCATGGGGACTTAGCCCTTGCTTCCCCTATCTTTTGGGACACTTTGCCAAGATCTTTGTATGGCTGGTTCCTTGGGTCTTAAACATCTTCAGAAAGGTGTTCTTGGGCCAGCCAAAGTGGCCAGCCCTACTCCCAGACTCTCTCTCTCTCTCTCTCTCACACACACACTGTATATGACTTTCTTCATAGCATTTATCACCACTCTTTGAAATTGTCTTGTCACTGTTCATGTGTGGATTGTCCCTGCCCATCTGAAAGGCAGCTGAGAGTAGTGACCTTTATGTCTTTGTTTGCCATCACATTTCCAGTGCCTGGTACTCAGCATTTTCTCAATAAATAGTTTTGAGTGAGTGTAGAACAGGGTGTGAAATGTGGATTTTTTTAGCAGTGTATGGCCCATTATTTTCATCAGAGAGATCCTAAAGGAGATGGGTCTTAAAATGGGACTGGAAAAAAATGAGTGCATCTGGATCAATGAAACAGAAATTGAAGGGTATTTTAGGGTAGGCAATTATGCAAACAAGACCTTAGAGGTGGGAAATCATGGCCCCAGTGGTATCAGCAAGCTTTGCGTGAGTAGAGTGGAAAAGAGGCTGTGGAGGTGACCTCACATCAAGTTTTTTTGTGAGGGGTAGCCACCTAGTGAAGAGACTTGTACAACACTTGACTTAACTGGAAACCATGGAGGTTTCTGAGCAAGAATGTACCATGAGAAAAGGTTGTTAAGAGTGTATGGCAATATGCATGGTGGACTGAAGATACGGGAGCTGTAACTAAGTCCACCTGGCTCCTGCGCCTGCGTTTAAAAATGCCATTTATTAAGACAGATCATAATTATTCTTTGTATAAATATCCTTTGTATCCATCTACAGATCCTAAGTTTTGTGAAGCCGGGTCATGGTGAATTCTCTGTCTAGTGCAGTACCTGACATCAAGGAAATGCATTTAAAGATTTCTCTGACTGAATAAATGTGTCAGTGATGGAGTCGGGTTACCCTGGAGGACAACTGGCAGTACCTAGAAGCTGCTGCAATAACAAAAGGTCTGCACACGTGTGCCTGAGTCACAGTGTGAACCGAATGGACCAGCTTCACAAACATTCCAGGGGAAGGGCCAGACAAATACACTGCTACATTAATACTTGGAGGTAAGGGACAGGGAAGATTCCAGGGTTTTCAGATGGAGAGATGTGGATATGATAAATTCTACTGACCAAGACAGGTAGACCGAGTGAAAGGAGCAAAGAAAGGGCAGGAACGCATGTTTGAGTTCACTCCGAAACATTCAAGCAGAAGTGTCTAGCAAATGGTTAGTGGTATGCTCTAGAAATTAGAATGGATTACATAGTTATATCTGAAGAACCCTAACCAATGCCTTCTGGAATATGTCTGTGAAATTAAGCTCCTGGACAAAAGGAAAGAAGAAGACTAAGAAATAACTGAAAAGGCATATTCAAAGAACACTGGTTTAGGAGAAAGAAAACATCAGTGGAACAAGGCTCAGAATTGTAATGTGCCTATCAGCTCAAATTGAATAACTTAACCCAGCAGAACCCTCACTTCCACGAGAGTACCTTAGCTAACTGGTTAAAGAGAGACTTAAATAGGGGGAGGATTTTATCATAAATTTAAATACATTATTGCATTTAAAAAAAATTCTTTTCAGATTAGTCCATCTAAACAACAGACACTTCTGCGATTCCATGATGTAATGCCAATTTGTTGAAATTAACTAAGTGCTATTGCAGCATAAGGAATTTGTACAGAGGACACTTTTTTTGTCCTTTGAGACAGAGTCTCACTATGTTGCCCTTGGTAGAGTGCCATGGCATCGCAGCTCACAGCAACCTCAAACTCTTGGGCTTAAGTGATTCTCTTGCGTCAGTCTCCCAAGTAGCTTGGACTACAGGTGCCTGCCACAACACTTGGCTAGTTTTTGGTTACAGTTGTCATTGTGTAGCAGGCCCTGGCTGGGTTTGAATCTGCCTACCTCAGTGTATGTGGCCGGCACTCTAACCACTGAGCTATGGGCACCAAGTCCAGAGGACACTTTTATTCCCTGCTAGAAGGAAAGAATGCAAGAAGTAATGCAACGATGCCATAGATACAATTGATAAAGGTTTTAAAAACTCTTCCCTTGGGCCCCAACCCAAACTTTGTGATAGAATCACAAAGGAGCACTGGTATTTATCATTTTGGGGATAAATGGCTTCAGAATTTGCTGCTGATTTGGGCAATCTGTGAGCCTATACAGATTGACAACACTTCTAACTGCCTCTCAGTGTGCTCAGTGTTCTGTTCTCTGTGAACTGTTCTTATTGGTGTCATAAAATAAACCCTGGTCCTTTCCCACTCATATCGATCACTGATGACCGTGTTTCTTACCCCCTATGTATCCAACTGTGCCAGCGGCTTCTCATAGCTTCTGAGGACTGAATACTGTTGCCTGACACTTTCAATTTGGGGAGTTCTTATTGAATCTGCTTTTTAGTCAACGTCCCAGTCCTCACCTGTCAAGCTATGACATGAATGAAGAGTCAGATCTAAGAATGTTGGCTGGAAATCAGTAATGGTTGTCAATTTTGAGCCTTGTTGGTCTAGATGAATCCTGTAAATCATGGATGATGTCGAGTGCAGTGGTCAGGGGTACTGGCCTTGGAGTCCAGCATAGTTGAGTGTAACCTGACTCTGTTCTTACTATCCGTGTCATCTTGGGCAAATCACTTACTCACCCTTATCTCCAAAATTGGGATAATAAGAATACTTACCTCATAGAGATATTATGAAAATTAAATGAAATGATGTAAGTAAGAGCCCTTAGTTTAATTCCTGACATACAGAGCATAGCAAGTGCCAGGAAGTAAATGGGGCTTCCAGGCTTTGTTGTTGCTGTTTGTTCTTGGAATGAAGAAAAAGGCCTTTTTCTATTTTACTCAGATTATTTGTCAGTAGCTGGGTATGGCCTGGAGTGAGCAGAAGGAGGGAAGTACTATCTCTGCCCTGGAGAGTACCTTGTTTCTCTGCACAAGGGAGATGATCAAGCTCCTTGAGACTCAAATGCTATTTCATGACAGAATAGTTCTAAATATAGTAGCAGTATGTAACGCTTTTGAAATGCCAGTGTTCTCAAGATCAAATCATTGCAAAACTATCATCCTGTATCTGGGTGAAGGTGACAAACAAAAGTTGTTTGTTTTTGACTCTGAAAATAACTCCTTCCTCCTGGGCTTCTCCACACCTGTCCAGGATCCCACGTACTTAGCGCTAAGCCCCCAGCTCTGACTACCGACCCTACACGGATGCAGCGACTCAGTCCTCACCTGATGGGCTTGCTGTAAGAGTTCCATTCTCTCCTGAAGAATCTGACAGTCATACTCTCTGCTCTTCCTCAGCATTTGCCGCCGTAACTTTTCTACTGCCGTCCTCAGCTCCTCTTGCTGTTTTTCACTTAACAATTCACCAAACTTGATAACAGTTTCTTGCTGCAGGGCATTGTACAAAGTAGCTTCTAGTTCCTGGATTCTCTGGCAAATAGAATTAGAACTTGGCATTTATGTGTGGTGTACACTGTGTATGTGTATGTGCGTGGATGTATTACGTTAGCCTGATGGGATCTGAGCAAGAAAAGGGATTTCAAAGCTTCCCTCTTATGAGATTCCATAAGGGTCATTAGCCATTTCTCCTCTCTAGCCAGGAGAAATTTGTTCTCTTTTTTTGGATTCTGTCCATCCTCTATACTTTTCATTTTTGAAAAGCCCTTATTTGGTTATAGTAGCTATACCTCCTATTCTCAGATTTAGTGGAAAGTAAGTTTGTTCTCTTCCACTTGAAAACTTCATATATTTAAAGTTCTCTATCCTGGTGACCATATTTTAAAAATCAGTGGTCTAAGTTGGAACAAAGTACTTGAAATTGGAGATATATCTCATGCAGGAAATGCCATCTCTCTTCCATGTAACAAACCTCTGTACTAGAAGATGGTTTTGTAGTCTCCATATTTTTTCTTGAAATAAAATGGGGAAGTAAGCTCAAAACATGACCTGCAATCTTGGAATTGGTCTGTTTTTGGTTCTTTGAGATGCATGGTTGCTCTAGCTATAACATATCTCTTTGACTCTCCTCTTTTATAGATGAAGGGTCTGCTGCCTCAAATCTGTGTATTTTTTCCCCACATGCTGCAAATATTTGCCAAAATCCACAATCTTATCTCTAGTAACTTTCACAAAAGCAACTACCCGCCTCCTAACCCCTTTGGTGGGGAATATTGTGTCCTAGCTCTTGTTCTGAACTGAGAAGATCTCATCTTCTTTCAGTTAAATCATGTTTTTTAAAAACATGATTCTTCAATAGTTGAGGGTACCACATAAACATGTAGCTACCTTAATCTTATTTTACCTATAGGTGGGAGTGGCAAAGGTGAAAGGGTAGGAAGGGAGGGAAAAATCACTTTCTCTTCTATTCTCTAATTAGTACCAACTCTCATTCTCTGCTCAAACAATGCTCAGAACCCCTTACTCATTTTGGACAGGAAAGACTAATTCATCTTCGTTACAGCAGGGGCTGAGAGCTTCACTCTCTTCCCAAAAGTGACTCAGGCTGCTTCCAGGAAAAGCATTATAAAAACCTCTGCTAGCAACTCCTTGAAAAATTCCTCTAGTTTGCTCTTTTTCTTTTGATTTATTGCTGTGAATTAATGGGGGGTCTGGGCATCAGGAGAGAAGAAATGTAAGGCGTAGTGCAATATTAGAATTGTGTAATATGAATTTGGTACAGGGAATGGATCAAATGTGCTCCTCTATCAGCATAATATTCTGTGGGGGAGAGAAAGACATAACTCACTTACCAATGCAGCCTCAGTCTCTGTGGCTGGATTATGGCTGTTAGGGCCACAGTGTCTGGAGTCAGATCTACACACTACCCTTTTCCCAACTTGGGCAAAGTTCTTCTGCTATCTAAACCTTAATTTCCTCGCATATCAGATAGTAATAATAATCTTACCTATGCCTCATAGGGTTGTTGTGAAAAAATAAATGAATTAAATATATGCATAACAAACATTAAACACATTATTATTCTACCAACTAGACCAGACTGCCCAACAATTGATTTGATAAAAATTTCTCTTTGATCTACATTGCCATCCATTCAATCCTTCACCTAAAATTATCTAACAATATATACAGTAGAACCCCTGTAAGCTGTCCAACCAAGGAACTATAACAAATTGGTCACCATACAGAGGTGGTCAGCATAGGGAATTAGGCCTCCTGTATTGATATGTATATGTGGTGCATGTCCAGTTTGTGAAAATTAGATCAATTTAAGGAGGTGTTCAATGTAGAGAAGCGGTCAGCTATGATGGTTCTACTGTAATTTTTAAAAAGAAATCATTCAATATTTCTTAAATATTATAAGGCTATAATAATAGCAAAGTGCTAAAGATATATTTTTTCTAAAATTGGAACTGGAAACCAATGAATAAATGACCTGAATGTTGTGGTCTATTCAGGTACATAGCATGCCAAACTAAATAGTATACTTTGCCCCATGGTATATGGTTGTATACTCTGAGCATCTCTATCACTTGTGGTACCTACCATATATGCTTGGTCAAGAGCTTGTTTTCTGTAGTCTAGCTCTTCCTCCAGATAGCCTTTTATTTTGCAGAATTGTTCCTGTAATAAAGGGCCACATTGATAAAGAGCCAGCTTAGTTAACTAGAAAGTGACATATAAATTGTATTAATTAATGTTTTCTCCAGTCCTACTCTAAGACTAATCACTAGCATTTGTAGAGTCATAGATTTTGTCTGCTGGGAATACAGCCCAACTTTCAGTCTCACAGAGGGAACGTGAAAGTCAGTGGAAAGAAGCATAAAAGATACGATGAAAAATCCGCATGGAGTGCTCTAAAACAGCAGTCTCCACGCTGTTTGGCACCAGGGACGGGTTTCATGGAAGACAATTTCTCTACAGACAGGGTTGAGGGGGAATCTGACAGGAGGCAGAGCTCAGGTAGTGATGCAGACAATGAGGAGTGGCTGTGAATACAGATGAAGCTTCACTCCCGTGCCCACCACTCACCTCCTGCTGCTCCTGACAAGTCAGGGACCAGTAATGGTCCACAGCCTGGGGGTTGGGGACCGTAGTTCTGAAAGATTTGTAATATCTTTTAGACTAATACCTCACGTGACTGGAGTCATCTAGTATCTAAGAGTAATGTAATTAGGAATAGATTTTTGACAAGTGTTAAATAATAAGTCTATGTAAAAATATTGTGACAGTATATTTTTGGAAGATTGTTATAAAATGTAACAGAGCAGGCTTATATAATAAACAAGTTTAACTTATGCAGATTCATCTAAGTAGAATTAGCAATCACAAGGAAAAATAATGTATTTAGATTCATCTGTGTACAATTAGCAAACACAAGGAAATATAAAAATAATTAAAGAGTGGGAGGGATATTACCCACACTGCTGCTTATTGAGGGGGTGTCTGTCTTTGCCACCCAGCCCAGGAGGGCTGGGAGACATAAAATTGACATTCCCTCACTCGTTCTCAATTTCTGTGTTCCTCTTAATATAAGAATTTTGCCAATAGCATTTAAAACTGTATCTTCATGTACAACACAGTTCCAAGTTTAAGTCATTTATTTCTTCTGGGTGCTTAACTAAAGGAACAAAGACCTCTTCCAACCCTGGAGAAAAACCCAGTGGTGTTGACTTTTGAGAGAATACATGTCTGCATGTAGCAATTTTTGTTGTTGACTTTCCTCATGATCCCTGCATTGCAGTGCCTGGAACAGAATACTGGTACAGGCTGATTGCATAGTTAATATTTCTGCATTTAAAGAGCTTTTAAGGGTAATATTGAATAGAGTTCTTGCTATGTGCTTTAACTTCAGAGCCTGACTTGGTGGTAACATGTGAACCCTGCATAAATACATATAAACAAATGACTTATAAGTTGTCACATACTATACACATGCAAGTTGTTCTTATTACAGCACTCCCTACCCTGATAGTAATCCATTACATGTGTTTTAGTTATAACAGTAATATTAATGAAAGTTTTATTATAAAATTCTAATCATTGTTATAAGCTAATAATAATCAATTCCTAGACTTGAGGATTTAATATTTTTTAATGTGTGGTGAAAGACACATAACATAAAATTTACAACCTTATTGTAAAGGTTACAATATTACAACCTATTTTTAAGTGTAGTTCAGTGTGAAGTGTATTCACAGTGTTATGCAACCAATGCTCAGAGTGTTTTCATCTTGTGAAACTGAAACTACATGCATTAAACAACAGCTCTACAATTCCTTTTCCTCTCAACCCCTGGCAAGCGGAGTCTCCTGTTTGTTCCTAGGCGTTTGACAACTCTAAGACCTCACATGAATGGAGTCAGCTAGTATCTCTTCACGACTAGTTTTTTCACTTACCATAATGTCCTCAAAGTACATCCATAGTGTAGCTAGCTATATCAGAATTTCCTTCCTTTTTAAGACTGAGTAATATTCCACTGTATGTGTGTATTACATTTTCTTTATCCTTCATTTCTATGGGCATTTGGGATGTTCCCACCTTTGGGCTGTTGTGAATAATGCTGGTATGGATATGGGTGCACAAGTATATTTTCCAGACTCTGCTTTCAATTCTTTTGAATATATGCCCAGAAGTGATATTGCTGAACCATATGGTAATTCTATTTTGAATTTTTTGAGCAATTGTCATACTGAATTTGATAGCAGCCCTGCCCTTTTACATCCCTCCCACAGTGCACAAGGATTTCAATTTCTCCATATCTTTGCCAACTCTTGTGATTTTTTTATTTTTCTGATAGAAGCCATCCTAATAGCTATAAGGGGGCTTGAGATTTTTTAAAATCAAAGTTACATCTACCATTTCATTAAGTTTTACTTGATAATTAAATATAGTAGAAAAATTACTTAGGCTAAGAAAGAAAGCACAAGAGAACGCCTAACTCAATTTTCTTCAGCATTAGTTTTGGGAATTTCATTCCATGGTCTGTATACAAAACAATGAGAAGGCTATATGCTTTCATCAGTGCCAGAAAAAAATGGCAGAGGCAACTTTTATTTTTCATTTGCCTTGTAAATTTTTCTTAATTTTTATTTTACCTTCACTTTGTACTCACCATGTCACTTTCCAATTCCATCATTTTCTGGTGCAGGGCAGCCTCTGCTCCTTCGATTTGCTGGATCCACTAAAGGGTTAACAAGAGAAAAGTTTTTGGCATGATTTCTTACTATGATGTATATCTGTGTGCTATTCACTAAGGTGCTTAGTCTGCTTCCCTTACATCTCAGGAAGCAGGCTGAGAACCAAAGTGAAGACAATGCAGTTTTATCACTTAGTTCATGAGCAAAACAATAGTCTTCTGTACATCCATCCATCCATCCATCCAACAAATGCATGCATGGATGCCGGGGGTGTGCTAGGTAGTGGGGCTGTCATGGTGAACAAGACCAACAAGAACTCTGCTCTCACTGGAGGACACCATAGGAGGCTTTCTCAGACATGATAATTGCATCGGGGTCTGAAGAATGGGTAAGAGAATGACTGGGAAAAATGAAAAGGAAGTTCCAAGTAGAAGGGAAACAATGTCCACTCACTCCATGGTTGGAGGGAGCATGAGCAGAGGCAGAGGCCCAGGTAGAATGGAGAAATGGTAATCTTTCAGAATATAAAACTTATTGTAGAAAAAGGGGGAAGAATTATTTTTATTTATTTATTTATTTATTTATTTAAATTTCAGATGTTTAACTTCTTTTCATTTTTTAAGTTTTATTTATTTTTTTGGCCAGGGCTGGGTTTGAACTCACCACCTCTGGCATATGGAGCTGGCGCTCTATTCCTTTGAGCCACAGGCACTGCCCTGAAGAATTATTTTTAAATGGGAACACTTTAAACCACATAAAAAGAACTTATTCTGATATGGGGTACTGATTTTAGCACTGATAACAGAACCACGAGGCTGCTTTCACATTTTGCAAAATTAACATCCTTTTTTCATCTGATATCTGGTCCATATTAAAACATCTCCAGTTGTTAGCAAAATGTTTCCTTTTTTCTTTCTTTCTTTTTTTTTTTTTTAAAAAAAAACCTGGTTTTGCTTAAATTTAGAGCCAACAAATATTCATTTCAATATTTCCAAGTTTCTTTTTATTTTATAGCAATATATCTTTCTTGCTCCTTCACTGTTTCTTTTCTTTATGCCATTATTTTGAGTAATGTGTCAAAATTAACTGTGTCATTTGACCTGTAGAATAAACACCTCCATTTCCGACTGGAGAAAGCTGATTGCTCGCACATGGTTTCATTTGATTTCCAGCAAGCATTTTATGCATTTAGGAATTAAGGAAGCATCCCAACAAATGTATGTAGTTTTCAGTTTATCAGACCATGTGCACATGACAATCAATTCTGTGCTGAGTTTTTTCTTTTTCTTTTTCTATGCTTCCCAGCCTAGACTGCAGTGGCCACTCACGACCATGATCACAACAACCTACAGCTGTGAGCTCTTGAGCTCAAGCGATTCAACCTCCTGACTTCTGAGTAACTGGAACAACAGGTGGATGTGCTCCCAGCTCTGTTTCATGTACTGATTCTTATCTTGAGGCACCTGAGTACAAGTTATCTGGCTTCTCCACTTGCCTCTTTTCCTCTTCTTTCTCTTACCATTTACCGGGATTAGACACAAGGGGGCAATAGCACACTCGGTATTGAGTTTCTCCCGCAAGTCCTTACATTGGGCCTTGTGCGTGAGATGGCAACAAGCTACCCCTGAACTACAGAGTCAACTGGGAATACTTGGTGCGTACACCCCCAAGGAAGAGTCCATGGCTGGTGTGTTCACATCCAAGGAAGAGTCTAGGGCAAGGGCAATGCTCCAGTTCACCATCTCTCAACAAAAACCTTCTTTGTTGGTTTCCCAGTTTGGTGCGGGTTACTTGAATAAAGTAATCCAGAAGTCTCCCATTTTTTAAAGGAATTATGGTGTGTAGACTTTTGTGTTTTCTTACTCTATCTGGGTTGTATCAGCCTTAAAAACGAAAGGTGTATTCTGTATTTAATAACAGGAAATCATTTGCTAAGGGAAATTTAAATTTCTTCATGCCCTACCCTGCTCTTTTGGTTTTAAACCAGCCACAGAGATGATGGAAACGTTAGCACAAATCATTACCTTCTCTGCAAGGGACAACACAGTGCTGGCCTGAATTATTGCCACTTGTTCTTCATTTCTTAAATTCTGTGAAAAATAAAAAAAGAGAGGAAATAAGCCGAAGGTACTTACGATATTTACACTAAAGAAAATACTGTCCATCTGCCTGCCACAGACGGTACTGAATAAGCATGTGCGGGACCTTAGCAAATTCCTATAATGTCTAGTCAGAGTTAGCAGAGAGTTAATTTGAAACCTCAAAAAATTATATTAAATGTGATTTTTTTACATCTCTCTAATATTATCTTGCTTTTGTGTCACTGTGAGCACACTTAGTTAATAGTCATGTCATGAGAAAAATGGAAACTGAAATGAAATAAAGAGCATTTCATAGCAGTTTTGATGTGATTTTATTGATTTTGTTCTCTCCTTTGATAATTTTCCAGGGGAAAAAAACAGAGACTTCTTCAACGGACATGCATCATTCACCTAGGATAACAATAAATAGTCTTCCCACCGAGTATGCCTGGACCCTGTCTGGAAGGTGTTTTAGAAAGAAAAAGGACACTAGCTTGCTGGTCCATTTTTGTGTGGCTGCCAACAACTCTAATATTTAGCGACATTGGCAATTTACACTGGATGCTTCTGAGGAACAGTCTGGTGGTAATTAGCTTTAATCGCCGCAGATTGTGGTCAGCTTGCAAACCTGAAACCCGTCCATGAAAAACACTTTGCCAGCTCCTATTTCTGCTACTATCTACCACAGATCTTTATAATCCCTTAGCCACGTTGTTTTGATAGATTACAGACTTCCTCTAGGGAGCTAACCTCCTGAAGTAAGCATGGCATCTCGTTTGCTATTATTTTGCACATGATGCCCTGGAAAAGTATTTTTGGGCTCTGTTTTGGCCCCCAAATTCGTATCTATTGCCCACTTAATTCATTACTTACCCCGTTATCACCCAGGATATCAAGCTGCTTTATGAGATCAGGGATGTTCACATCCTGCAAAATCAAGGGGATGAATTCAAGTCAAAGACACAAGTGTGGCCCATTATCCTATCAGTGCCTGAACCCTGTGTCAGAGGAAGATGTGCAGTCAGACATAGTTGGTTTTTTTTTTTTTTTTTTTTGAGACAGAGCCTCACTCCGTCACCCTGTGGTAGAGTGCTTTGGCATCATAGCTCATAGCAATCTCAAACTCTTGGGCTTGAGCAGTCCTCTTGCCCCAGCCTTGCAAGTAGCTGGGACTATAGGCACCTGCCACAATGCCTGACTTTTTTTTGCTTTCTGTGTTTAGTAGAGACGGGGTCTTGCTCAAAGTCCTGAGCTCAAGAAATCCATCACGTCAGCCTCGCAGAGTGCTGGGATTACAGGCATGAGCCACCATACCCGGCCCACACATACTTAGTTTAAAATTTCTACTCTGCTTCTTGTAAACTATGTGAATTTAGGCCTAACAGTTCACTCTCAATTTTGCCAGTTACAAAATACGTACTGACTTCACAGGCTGGTCTTGAGGATAAAGACACTTTATAAAGAGTCCAACATGTATGTAGTAAGGACGTGGAATATATGCTTATTAACTTTTTTCCTTCTAATTGCCAAACTTTTTTTTCCAACTATGATCAACTTTAGGCACAAAGAAAACTAATAAGTAATACATATAAAGAATTAACATTTCTGAGCTGGCTAAATTTTGTCTGCCCTATGAAAAACTACAGTGCAAATTCCATTTTGCGGGGTGTTCAACATGAATTTTATCCTATAGGAAACTACTTTTTCTCTACTCTTTGAGTCAGTTTGAAGCAGCTGAACTCCATTTGAAAGACCTCCCTTGGATATAAATTACAGCCATCAGATTAGGTTGTTTGTGATTTACCTAAGAAAAGGTATCTCAGAAGAAGACAAAGGAAATTGCTTTTTATTTAATTTGAGTTGAATCAGAAAATTGCTTTGGTTTGCAAATTTTTATGCAGCCCAGAAAGCCAGGAGTTTAAACACCATGTGAGTGGTGTAAGACGGATGACAAGGAAGCACAATTTTACTGCCTGAATTTTCTCCCCATTTCTACTTTATTAGTACCAGTTCTCCTCCTACTCAAGTTCAAACAGCAGTATACAGCACAGCCTTACTAAGGGGAAAGGGAAAGTCTAGCTTAATCTCATAGGAAGGGGGAAGACAACTGAAGCAAGTACATTTGGCAGCTGAGTGGGAGCGGGAAGGGCCATGCGGAAGGTAAAGGAGAGACCAGGAATAGCAGAAGGCATCCTGACTTTACTCCAGGGAATATATACCCACGTGTAACTTTCTCACTTTACAGGACAGTATATTTCCTGGGAGACAGAGAGACCGCAATTCAACTTAATATTTACAATGTATTTTAGTGGCACTAAAGATAGTATTATGTTTTAGTTCATAAGCAACGTGTTATAAACCCTGAGCACTTTCATTAAGAGAACTCTGCTTTAAATTAACCACATCAAAAGAGAAAGTGGACGAGATGACTTTATAGTCTCTTGTAACTCTGAAACTCCTGGATTATGAATTAATTTCACAGCACTTAAGGTGGCACAAGAAAGGGATTCAACAAAACTTTCTCCTATGGCAGACTTCAAGTGTGTTTCTTGAAGTATCAAATTTGTTTCATATTTCTCCTAGGTAGGTAAGGCTAATCATCTTAATAAATATTGCGATCTTCTGTACCATTCTTTATGTTACCCTGTTCTAAGTAATCATGGGTGCCTGCCTTCTTTGTTGCTACCATTTGTGTAATACATTTATTTTATGTTCTGTTGATTTTCCAAGAGATGTGACCATTTTCAATTTCTACATTGTATCAAAAGGTAATCCAGTGACTGAAAGACCAAGGAGTCATGAGTGGCCTCCCTTTTTCTCATTCCCCGTTTTCCTAATTTCTTACAAACATAAAAAAAAAATTAAACATCTGCCTACCTTGACACCTTCTTTCATACAGTAGATCTGTAGAGCACTCACACCATCTGAGAATGGGTGAATTTGGAGATTAAATGGAGGGGATCGTCTCTCTCTTTCCTTGAAATACAGTGAAGAATATATAGAAATTAAAATAAAAAAGCAACAACTGACTAAAGACTAAACCAGTAGTCTCTTTATGCCATTTCAGCAGTTTATCAATGTCATTGGGAAAAGAAAATCAAACCAGGATGTTGATAGTTAAATTTAATGGGAAGGAATGGGCTAGTCGACTCCGAGGTAGAGGAGAAGAATTTACAGATAGTGTCATCCATCTCTTGCAAATTTTTTGATTAGGAAAATGCAGGAAGTGGAGATCTGATTTAAACCGTATGAATATTTAGAGCTTTCGGATATCACAAAGGGGGGTCTTGCCGTGAAGTTTTATGGCAGCTAAGGGCCTATTGCATATTCAGTGCGCTCAGACTTTATGAGTAAGATACGTGGGCAACAAAAGATGACTTCCTCTTCTTCACTGAAGCATGCCAACTGCCAACTTTTTGTCTACATCTAATTTGAAATAGCCTCAAGAAGAGATTGCTGGCAAAGTAGGACAGAAATCAAGTGAGAATTTTTCTTATCCTTTTACATATCCATATACTTTCAATTAGACTCTATTCCAAATTTTTGGATTTCATTTGTATGTTTCACTTGGAAAAAAAATAAAACAACCTTAAAATTGGGTTAGATTAGTTAAGATATTTCCTAAGTTATCTTGCTTCTTAACCAGTAATTTTTTTATTTTTTGGATGAGTGCATTGAAGACTAAAAAGTTAACTTATAAATTTAACTCAAAATATTTCTATAGAGAGCACATTTTGAAATATAATTCTTGAGCTAACAGTTTTTGATGTTAAAATCTGATCAAGGATGGGCATGGTTATTTAAAAGTCAAGAAATATTGAGGAGGTTTGAAATCTATTGTTTAAATTATTTTAAAAATTATTCATTAGCCTTGTTTACAAAAGTAGCAATGTTGAAAAGTATAATATCTGAGCACACGGTTCTGAGTTGCATCAAGGCTTTACCACTTATTAGTCATGGGACTTGGGTAAGTTATTTAATCTCAGTTGCCACAGCTATAAAATCTTGAGAGTGATTGGAAGGTCCAATTGAAAGAAAAAAATCTGAAAGGGTTAACTCAGTCACTAGCTCCTTCGTGTGGTAGGGGCACGTTAACTGTTATTGTTATTATTAGCTTTATCACCATCGTCATCATCATTTCCTTACTTCTAGCTCTAGATTTCGAAACTCCAGCAGCTCATTCTGGTCTCTGGCGTCTTGTAGTTCCTGTTGTAACCGGTGATTTTCTGCCTCCTGCTTTTCTATCTAATAAAGTAAATCCTGAAGTTAGGTGAGCATTGCAGAGAGCATCTATAACTTTGCAAAGCAAGCACGGATGGTATGCATTTATTCAGTGAATAAATCTTCCAGATCATGAAAAACATTCCCAAGTAGTTATGAATAAAATAACTTTCCTTCTAGTTATTCTTTGTTGAGTTGCTTTGAATTCCAGAGAAAAATGCTGGAAGATAGCTCTGTTCCTTGGAATGAAAGATAGGCAATCCTGTGACTAGCAAATGTACGTCTTTGTGATGGGTCAGAGACAATGTATCAGAACCAGATTTACTGGTATAAATAAGAGGATTGACCCCTCTCATTTCTGGAGTTTAAGTTGTCAGAGAAATAAATTTTTTAGAAACAGCTCTCATCACATATAAAACTTTCCTTTTCTACATGAGAAAGCCCTACACTTCCTTGAACACCAAGCTCTGACATCTATAGGAGTCTTCCCAGTCTACTCCTGGAGAAGTGACACCTTTTCCTTCTGTTTTCCTATAGACTTTCTTACAGGAACTCTAGTATAACCTGATGAAGTATGAAGTTCAGTGAGCTGTGTACAAATGTGCCTCCCGCTATAGGCAAAGTCCATGTCTGAGTCATTTTTGCATTTTAAGGAACCAGAAAAGTTTTTTTTTTTTTTTAAAAAAAATCATAGGATGCACCTTACTTTCCCAAACCTACAATTTTGAAGTTAAATGTTTGGCTTCATTGTCACTTCTGTGATCCTTTTATTCTTGGAAGCCTGGGCTCAAAAATCCCATTTTTAGTCCAAAGAAATCAAGAGTAAAAGAAATCAGATGGAAAACATAATGGGAATCATTATTTTGATGATAAAGAAATGTAATAACATTTATTTCCAGGGATCTCCGAGACTCATTGGAAAATAAAGGTGGGGAAAATGTGAGAGAATAAATGATATTAATTAACGTACTCAACCGTAGATACATGCGCTTGCGGTCTAGTGAACTTCTGAAAGTTTTTAGAAGTTGACTTAGTTTATAAAAGAGATTCAATTCCTATTATCTTGTATTGGATCAGAGAGGGGCTATTTGGACAGACTACTGGTTCTGTTGTAGTTAGTGAAGCAATTAGAACAGCGGTTCACAGATTGTGATTCACAGACCAAGACCAAGGGCAATGATGTTTTTTCTAAAGGGCCTCTTACTATTCCCTAGAGCAGCAGTTCATTTTGGAATAACTACCCAGCCTCTATATGATGTATACATTGGTTCCATCTCACATCACGCAGAAAGCCTCTGCCAGGCTAGAAGGGAGAAAAGACATGCTTCCTCCTTCTCATGCTTACCAGGTGGTTGTGATTAACTTTTATTACTTGACAAGGCTAGAAAATATTGGTAGAAATAATTCTAAAATCATCCCTACCTAAACTACAAATTGACTTGCAGGATTATTTCCCTGACTCAATTGGACTTTCAAATCCTGCTTTTGTCAAGGATAACACAAGGATTATTTTGTAATCTTTCTCTAGATTTGTGGAAGGTGAATATCACAGGGAAATCCAGCTTTGAATTTAAACAATGTTCTCAGTTATGTTTAATGGTCCCAAATCAATAACCTACATTCAAACAACCCAAATTAATTCTACCTCTTGGGCCTAAACCATGTTTTTGTATCTTAATTTGTTGACAAATTTCCTGGACATACTGTTTTGTGCTTTGGATACATCTAAAAAAAGTATTTCCTTTAAAAAGAAGTAGAAACAGCCAAGCTTAGCAAAAAGATTACAAGTGGGAAGCTGAGTCTGTGTTAGGATGGAGCATGACCTTGGAGTCATATTCTGGAGTCACTTCCTCATAGAAAATAACAAGTCCTATTCACAGAATGTTTTTCGTAGATGGACAACCATATAGCGTGTGTGCGTGTGCGTATGCGTGTGTGTATATATATGCACGGTATCGATACAGCACATATATATGATCGACAAATCGGTAGGTTTCAGGGGTCACATCCTTTTGCGTCTGCACAAAGCCCAGCGCAGAGCCATGCACTTGTGCCACTTAGCTGATGGTGATGGTGGTGACAGGGATGTGGTTGAGGATGTAGCAGAGGACAGAGCAGCACCAGAAAAGCTTCCCCTTCCCCTGGCCCTTGTGCCACTCCTGAGAGCACCTCCTGCTGCTCCTGGATCTCTAATCATTTTCTCCTTTGCCCCACTAGGGTGTTCGCCCAACATACCTTTTCTAAAAGCTCCTGGTTTCTCTTAATGAAAAGTTGTTTATCTTCTACCCAGTGTGAATCCTGTTTGACAAAGAATATCGCGCAGTCAGCATTTCAGAGTGGCACGAAAGAGCCTGTGTTGTCAAACCACTTTGCCAGGGAAATCTTCTTCTACCCCGTTTGTTTGCCTGCCAACGACTGGTAAATGACACCCACCCCGGCCAGCTCCTTCTTCAAAGACATCGGGGCCAAAGTTGCCAGGAAACTGCAACCCCCTTTTCATCATCACTCACTACCTCTACCTTTTTCAGTCTGAATAATCCAGGACCAGCCTTCTGGGGACTCAGAAGTGACCACACAGGAAAAAAGTGAAAAGGGTCGGAATGCACACAGGCTAGATACATATGGATGGAAAACATTAAAATGCGGAACCATAAATGTAGCATAGAGGCAAAGGACGCAGCTTATGACAACTCCAGGCTATTTGTACACGGCTTCTCCTGGTTTCTCTCTTGCCCAACCTCATTCACTGCTGTGGCTGGGTTCATATTTTGGCCCAAACAACACCAGGGTTGGAAATACAGAGTTGAACGTTCTGACCCTGTTTGAGAAAAGTCCCCATGGAGAGCCAAGCCGTGTCTCGGAGGTGGCCCATGCACAGGTAAGCTAGAGAAAAGTCAGACTGAATTGTCTGCTCCTGCAGAAGAGCCAGCAACCAAGTGCCTACCTGCCCTTTCTGAGCCAGAGTCGCTTCCAGGTCTTCAATTTTGGCTTTGTACCTTTGCACCTCTGCTTGGAGCTGTTCTTGAGCCTGGTGAAATCAAAATTCCAGAGCTCAACAAGTAAAATGGTCATTCAATAGCTTCCTTCCTCTCATGTTTCTTGACTAGAACTCAACAAGTGAAAGAAAATAAAAAGAAGTTTCTATGACAAAAGGATCTTCTCTAAACTGCTTCCATGTTCTAAATACGTGTTTAAAAAACTTCCTGGGGTTCCCTTTATTGTCAGGTTAATGTTCACACTCTTTGGCTTGGCATTCAGGGACTCCTACTGTATTTCCAATTTTTTCCTACTACTCATCAACGTAAGAGTCTACTCCTTTGGTGAAATCCTTTTTTTCCTAGATATGCCTTGTAACTCTCTGCTTTTCTCTGTTTGAATATGTCCCCTTTCAACAAAGCCTTGTCCCATTTTGCCTTTCCAAATCTTTCCATTCTTTCTGAGCCATTTTCCTGCCTCCCTCCCTCCCTATCTATTGTATATTTTGTGTATATGTATAAGCATTTGTGGACACTGACCTTCTAGGCAACAACCTAGCTGTACTATGTCATTTCGTCTAGTACAGCAGAACCACCATAGTTGACCCCCTCCCTACATTGACCTAATTTTCATAGAGAGGACATGCACCACATGTACACATCAGGGCAGTAGGCCAGTTCTTTATGTTGACCACTTCCATAGATCGACCACATTGTTATAATCCCTTGCATGGTCAACTTACAGAGGCTCTACTGTAATTTGATTTTAGATTCTCTTTTAGTATCTTTATATACAAACTTATTCCTTTGTAAAAAATTCGAAGGTTTTTATTTGTCTGTTTGTTTCCTGCCCATATACCTAGTTTTTATTCTTCGAATAAAACTAGAATTGGATTCGCTTAGAATCTGAATATTCTTCAGTATCTAAGGTTGAGTAAAATCAATTGATAGTATTTTCTTACTCTTCATTGTCAGCAGAATATTTCTTTGGACTGTTAAACATTATATATTTACTCTTGTCATGTCTAACAGGTCTATGCTTAATTTTGCTAAGATCTATTTTAAACCTTGAGGTTATATCGACTACAATCTATTTTTTCTTATATCAAAATGATATCTTTTGTTTTTATTAATGCTTTCATCTAGATTATCTATTTTCACATTTCAACTTTCTTTGAATTTATTCTATTGCTCTTTCTCTAACATTTCGATACCTTTTAGAGTATTTTGCTCAAAAGGGTACCTTTTTTTACTTTAATGTCTAGAGATAATGCTAAACTTTTATTTAGATGAGAGAATCTGATGAGAGGAGGACTGGTTTCTGTATCATCACTTCTCAAAAAAACAAGACATATGGTATGATTTTAAATATTCAATATCATGTTACTCAGAATTCTTAATAAATACTAATCGTGAAAACACAAATATTACAGTATTGTAATACATACATGTGAAGGCATGCAGGTACATTCCTTTCTAATGACTCCTTGCCTGTCTTATTTCAAATTAGTGGTTTTTAAAACATGTTTATTGACTTATGTATGTATGTGTGCATATGCACATCACCCTTTAAACATTTATAATTGTTATATTTATCTTTTCCCACTAACAAGTAATACTAGTTCCTACAACACACTTCAGTGCATTGCAGACCTTCCAAAAATAAAGTGAGTTATAAGGCAGCACCCATAGCTCAGTGGGTAGGGCGCCAGCCACATACATCCAGGCTAGTGGGTTTAAACCCAGCCTGGGCCAGCTAAACAAGAATGACAACTACAACAACAAAAAAATAGCTAGAAGCCCAAGTGCTCATCGATCCATAAATGGATCAATAAATTGTGGTATATGTATATCATGGAATACTATGCAGCCTTAAAGAAAGATAGAGACTTTACCTCCTTCATGTTTACATGGATGGAGCTGGAACATACTCTTCTTAGCAAAGTATCTCAAGAGTGGAAGAAAAAGTATCCAATGTATTCAGCCCTACTATGAAACTAGTTTACAGCTTTCATACAAAAGCTATAGCCCAATTATAGCCCAAGAATATGGGAATGGGGGCGGGGGGGGGAGGATGGGTGGTGGGAGGGATCACACCTATGGTCCATCTTACAAGGATACATGTGAATCTTTCTAAATGCAGAATATAAATGTCTTAACACAATAACTAAGAAAATGCTGTGAAGGCTACGTTAACCAGTTTGGTGAAAATATTTCAAATTGTATATAAAACCAGCACACTGTACTCCATGACTACATTAATGTACACAGATATGATTTAATAAAAAATAAAAAATAAAAAAAAATGTGGAGATAAAACACCATGCAAGGAACTAAAATATGAGAGAAAAAAAGAAAAGAAATTAGCTGGACATGGTAGCACATGCCTGTAGTCCCAGCTACTCAAGAGACTGAGCCCAGGGATTCAAGGTTGTGGTGGACTATGATTGGGCCTTTGCACTCCAGCTTGGGCAACAGAGCAGGACTGTCTCAAATAAGTAAATAAATCAAAGAATAATTAAAAAAAAAAAAGAAGCTGAGTGTTGTGGTGGGCACCTGTAATCCCAGCTACTTGAGAGGCTGAGGCAAGAGAATTGCTTAAGCCCAAGAGTTGGAGGTTACTGTGAGCTGTGATGCCATGGTACTCTACCGAGGGTGACATAGTGACACTCTGTCTCAAAAAAAAAAAGAAAGAAAGAAAGTAGGATATAATCGCAGAGTGTTCATGATCCCTTTTGGATCATGTAAATTTACGAGGTAGTCACAGCCTGGTGGTTATGCCTGAAGTCACAGGCTAGCTTCATATCCTAGCTTTGGGATTTTAGGTAAAAAATTTAACTTCACTAAGTTACTATTTCCTCTTCTGCAAAAAGAAGATGATAATGGAATCTAGCTCCAAGAGTTCTTTTAGGATTACACAGACAGTGTGTGTAAAGTGGTCAGCACAGTGCCTGGAGTGTAGCCACACATTCAGTAAGTTTTAAGTATTAGTGTTGTATCCATTTCTTTTTCCTTCTGTTTTGAAATAGGGTTATGAGAGGCAGTTGTGATATAATGGAAAGAATATCTGACCCAGTGAGATCAGAGTTGGAATCCCAGCTTTGTAATTTAGTAGCTGCGTGATCTTCGGGGATTGAATTAACCTTTCTGAGTCGCAAATTCTTCTAGAAGAAAATACCTGCTTTAGGGGGCTGTGGCAAGGGTTAAGTCAGATATTGTCTGTGAGAATTCTTGGTTAAGATGTCAAATGTAGTGCTGTGCACAGTGAACGAAGAAAAGAAACCAGCTATTGCTTCTGAAAGTTAAAAGTTCTTTTTCCAAGAATGAAACTAAAAAATGGATTATTCAACCCAATATTGTCTAGCTTTGAAAATGTTAAGTTTTCAAATAGCAAGAATAAAAACTATATACTCAACTCTCTTTGAAGGAACAATGACATGGGTCTAAGCTGGTTCTAAGGCCTGTAGATTCAAGGTTTGTTGACATAAAAGATAAAACAGTTCAAAAGCTGCAGAGGAGAGAAAGGTGCAGGGAAAGCTGTCCTCCTGATAGTTTCATGTCCCTGGTACATCTGTGCTCTGACTGCCACACGCTAACTCAGAGCACCCTCAGCGGTGACACTAACCTTGGCTTCTCGTTCAGCATCAATGATGCCCCCAGTCTGCTCCTGTAGGAGGGCATATGCTCTTTGGAGGGCCTGGTATTCTTTTGTTAATTGTCGAAATCGTAGCTCAGATTCTTCAGCTGCTAAACTCTTGAGGTTCAAAAGAAAAGCCAAAAATAACTGTGTTACATTCAGGTCCTGTGTTCAATGTGAAATACTAACTTCATTTTAACCATTTAAAAAGAAGTCAAAGGATTTTTTTTAGTATTCTGTTTTGATTTTACTTTTAATTCTAGAGTGTATTTATGGACACAGGTACTGTTGATGCTTTCAAGATGGACACTGCAGAAATATGTACATATTTATTTTTTTAAAATAAGAATTTTTACTTATTTATACATTTCTGATTATTATCCATTTTGGTGTAGATTTCATTCCATTTTGGATCTAAAGGGAAAAAGTCATGCTTAGATTAGGGATCTAAATTTGAGGAAATTTAGATCTAAGTTGATTCTAATGTCTCTAGATTCAAGATATTAAGTTTACTCATTTCTTTTTAGTATATTATTTTCCAAAACCTTTTCCCAGATAAATTATAAAAACTGTTTTTACAGCTTTTGGTCTTAAACTTCATGGGGTAACACAATCATCACAGAACTCTGTGAACAGTGTAGACTGTGGGGTTTTATCCCCCAAGATCCTGAGTCGGGAGTTGTATGGTAGGATCCAGGAATTTTCACAATAGTTGAGCCTTCTACATCACTCTGATGAAGCGGTTCCCAGAACATGCTTTGCTACATAGTGTCTGAGACTGTATCCAAAAGACTTAAAAGGTTGTTCCTTGGTTCATACCTTCCCTAGATGAAGAATTTTGGATTGAAGCCTTTATTTTGAAAGAAGTCTTCAAGTTATAGAGCTAAATTGTAGAGAAGGTTTCTAAAAGGGTTACCTGATACAAGTGAAGGTATTTTTTAAGAGATAACAAGGTCAAGTGTGGTTATGAGATTACTTTGTGCTGCTCGTAAGCAATGAAAAGTGAAATGCTTTTTCTTTCTCTAAAAGAAAAGATTTAGCGACAATATTACTCAAGGCTAAAAAAATGGAAAAGCTTACTTCATCCAGGTCATCATCAGGAGTCGCTGGTGTCCTGTCTGTTCTAAACGAGGCCATGGATGATGTCTCTGAATCCATGGAGTCCTCATCATAGCCAATAAATGGGTCCAAAACAGGCCTCTGAATGTAGAAAAGTACGTGTTTACTGACACAACTAAAAGTTGGGCAAGAGGAATATTATTAAGATAGTGCCAACTGGCATGAGTGTAGATGAACATAAAAGACATGGAACCTTTAAAGTTTCTTTGATGAAATAAAAACATGAGACATGAACACAAAAATTCCATTATTTCTCCCATACTATTTCACTTCCAACACATTCAAGGAAGATTCTTAAAACACTCATAGAAACACTGAAGCCTCTTTTATATTGTGTTTTATAGCATGATGAGCCAATGTGATTTACTGCACTTTCTAGGATTTAATCTATGATCAAAGGACTTTAAAGACCCAGGCACCTCTGTGGAGGGGATTATCAGATTTAAGTATTGTTATCTATTTCTACAACTAAAACAAATGATAGACTTGGTAAAAACAAAAACAAAAATTAAACAGAGTAAATAACAAAACTTTGTGGATTATAAGAGCCGGTACAGATATTGGTAGATGTGGGGAAACATTATCAATTTTATTGCCTGAGTGAATGATGAAAATATAATAATCAGTTATGGGCCGGGTGTAAGACCCTCATGTTACTCTGTGGGAGACATTAAATCGTTTGTAGCTTTTACATGTTTGTGGAGTCTTACTTTCCAGCTCCTCAGATGATCCTTTCTACATCAAACCTAGAGGTACCTGCATTTAGAGAAAGTTATCTTAAAGCAAACCCTTTCAGGCTGAACTCCACACACAATCATTTTTAGACTTCTAAGAAATGCCAAGAGAAGAGATTTTCTTCTAACAAATGAAGCCCATGGTTTACGGTAGCAGTTCAGGAATCTGATTTATCACATCTCTGCAGGAAGACTCCATGCCAAGAATCATTTCTCAGGCTGTCTGTGGCAAATGCCTGATAACCTAGTTTTCTTATTACCTTGATGGGCTTGGAACTTCTTCTATGCTTTCTCCTACGGATGAGCTTTTCTCGGTCCTGGAAAACAGATGAAAGACTTTTCAGATAGCTTTTTGTTTTTTTGTAAAGAAAGAATTGTTTTTCCCCTAAGGCATTATATTTAGAAGAGAATTGGGATTTGCTTTATAAATTTTGGCAACTTTTGGATGTGTAAATATTTGGACGCATAAATATTTTCAAAGTTAGAACATTCTGCTGTTTTGTCTGGTAATGTATGTGGATCTGAGAGCCTCACAATCAGAAAGGGTACTGTGTTCCTAATCAGAATTCTTCATTTTATACTCAGAAATCAAATAGCTCTGAAAATAGTTACTCATATTTTCTCTAAGCACAGTTCAGTTTTCTCAAATCCAATATAATTTTAATTTATGTTAAAAAATATCATTTCACAGTGAAGTACAACCTATGCTTTTCATTTAGTCATTTTAAATGCATAGAAAATGGTCTTTGGGCGATTCGGGGAAATCCTTGCTCTCACCTGTAATCCCTGAAAATAGAACTGTGAACAGAGTGTCCAGTTTATACTGTTGGGTAGAACATTTAGTGTGGTTTTT